ATTCTCTTGCCTCAGCCTCCCAAGTAGCTGGGACTATAGGGGCCTGCCACAACACCTGACCTTTTTTTTTGTTGTTGCAGCTGTTATTGTTTTAGCTGGCCCCAGCTGGGTTTGAACCTCCAGCCTGGGTGTGTGTGGCTGGCACCCTCCCTGCTGAATTTATCTTTTGAAATTCAACTTCTTACTAGCTAGTCTTTCCATAAGAAGCTCACTGCTACTTTATTTCTTTAATAGACATACATACCAACATTATTTACTACAAAATTAAAAATATAAACCATAAAAACGTTTTATGGTTACTGTGAATTATAAATATTTTTATATGGAATTTTATTTTCCCATTTTCTGTGGGTTATTCATAGTCTAAAGGTATTTTTATGAACATAATTTCTACTCAAAAAACTTAAAAGGAAAGAAAATGTAATAAATCATACATCTGTATGTAACCTGATTTTTCATATAAGTATATAAATAACTGACTAGTATAATTTTAAAGCTTTATTTGTGCTTATTGCAAAATAATGAAAATATAAGCACAGAGAATTAGAACTTTATAAATAGCTGTAATAATGATGACAAAGAAGGATGTTAATATTTATAGGTTTTCTTTCTTTCTTTTTTTTTTTTTTTTTGAGACAGAGTCTTACTTTCTCACCCTGGGTAGAGTGCTGTGGCATCCTAGCTCACAGCAACCTCAAATTCTTGGGCTCAAGTGATTCTCTTGCCTCAGCCTCCCAAGTAGCTGGGACTACAGGTGCCCACCACAATGCCCAGCTATTTTTAGAGAAGGGGTCTTGCTCTTCCTCAGGCTGGTCTAGAACCTGTGAACTCAGGCAATCCACCTGCCTCGGACTTCCAGAATGCTAGGATTACAGGCTTGAACCACTGCACTGGCCAACATTTATAAGTTTTAATAAGAATTATTTTATACTGTTAAAACTTTGCCACTTGTATGTTTCTTTCTTTTCCTAACAGCTTGTCTTTGCTTTATAGCTACAACGTATGCTCAAATGTTTCTGAGGGCAATAATTCCATTCTAAAAAAGTTTTCTCTTCTTTGTTTTATTTCTGTTTCTAAGCTGGTGTTTTTTATTTTTTTCTGGATAGTCCAGGAAACCTGCTGGTACATTGTTCCACACAGTAAAATGATGAATTAAGGGCTGGGCAGGGTAGGATAGAGTTTTCTGCCTTTATCTGTAGTAGAACAGTGGGAGAGTCCCACATACTTCAGATAAGTTGTTATTAGTTACGTATGTGTTACAGGCTCACTTCACTCATACTATTTTAGGGGACCTCGTCCCAAAATTATTTTGTGGAAAGGAAAATTATTTTTTATACATTATAGAATTTTATTCCTGTCTTGAATTATTGTTAAGGATAGCATATTTATAGGGGCTCCACCTAACAAATGCAAGCATTGTAACCTAATTGTTTGTACCTTCACATTAATCTGAAATTAAAAAAAAAAGATAGAGTGTTTACAAAATAGCCGTATCTGTCTTATCAAAAAGAACAAGTGAGTAAAATGTATCTGACTGCAAAAAGATGAAGGACTGAAAACTTCCCTTTTCAAAATGAGACCGTGTATTTTATAAATCAGATAAACTAATTTTTATTTATTGGGGTTTTATATGGTAAAAAATTGTTTTGTTTTTATTGTTGAAATAAAATTCAAATTTGAAGTTTTTCCAGACTTGTATGCAAGTTGAGGAGTACCAGTAACTTGACCTTGTTCTTAAATTGTTAGAGTATCTGACTTCTTTAAGAAGTTGATTTATTTCTGTTCTGAGCAAGCTGTTCAATAAAAGTGTCTAGGACTTTGGAAATTTGCTTTCTTTACATTAGTCCATATTGACCATGTACTGTTCTGTAACTATACTGTTCTGTGTTCTCTGAAGGAGATGATGTGTTAGTATGCCTGAGACATTTGTATAGTTTAGTTTTATACTATCTAATTGCCTGTAGTTCTGTTTTATAGTATCTGTTTGTCATTCTGTATATGTACTTATTTATTTATTTGTTGTCTTGAAGGAAAACCTAAATGTCAAACTGGTGGAAAATCTAAAAGGACGGTTCAAGGCACTCATAAAACTACTAAACAGGTATAGCATATACAACTTTTTACTTATTTACTTTTAATGTTAGTTCCTGAACATATTATAAATCATGAAAATGTAATTTTTTCAGGATTTTAATATTGTATGTTTTATATGAATGTAAAAATTTAATGTAACATTTTATATTTAATAAATGTATATATAGTAATCACCGTGTGCCTAGCTTGTACTGAATACAAATATTAACTTCTTTAGTACTCATAATTAACCTTTGATATAGCCATTATTATTATTATCACTTATAAAAATGAAGTTTTATTAGAAAAAGAAACTGAGGCAGAGAGAAGTTACATAACCAACTGGTGACACAATCAGGATTTGAACCCAGGCTGTCAGTATCCACATTTTATGTTCTTAACCTCTCTGCTACACATTTTTTTTTTTTTTTGGAGACAAAGCCTCAAGCTCTACCCTGGGTAGAGTGCTGTGGCATCACAGCTCACAGCAACCTCCAACTTCGGGGCTCAAGCACATCTCTTGCCTCAGCCTCCCAAGTAGCTGAGACCATAGGCACCCTTGCAGCTGTCATTGTTGTTTGGCGGGCCCAGGTTGGATTTGCACCCACCAGCTTGGGTGTATGTGGCTGGTGCCTTAGCCACCTGAGCCACAGGCACTGAGCCTCTGCTACACATTTTTGTGAATTGCTTTAAGATTTTCTTTCTTGGTGTAATGATGCCTTTAGTTTGTAGGATACTAACTCTGTATTGACTCTAAAAAGAGTTTAAATTGGCTCTCCTAAATTTTGGAGAACACAAGCCTACTTTATTATTATTATTATTTAAATTTTTATTTTAAACACTTTTGTAGAGGCAGAATCTCATTGTGTTGCCGAAGTTGGTTTCAAAGTCCTAGCCTCAAGTGAGCCTCCCAGCTTGGCCTCCCAAAGTGCTGGGATTATAGTCATGTGCCACTGTGTCCAGCCTACCTTATTTTTTGAGAGTATTTAGCATAATTATAGTTAGCTTTTTAATCTATAGTTATTTTCTCTAAAATTTTAACGTTATTTTAGTTTATTATTAAATATACTAGGATGTATTATATAAATCAAATCTTCATGTGAGGAAAACATGGACTTCTAATCAAGATACCATTGTGAGTTCATAAAGAATCTTCCCTCCCCAAACACAGAGGCATAAGTAATGAAATATTTTTTAAAAACCAAAAAATATAAAGGGTATTTAAAAAAATATGATAAACATCTCTGTGGATCGGAAAGAAAGCAAACATATATATTGACAGGTAAGTGGAATTAGAGACATGAGCTTAATGGACAGAAGCATCTAGAAAATCAGTTCATATGGGATAAGGGAGCTTAAATGCTCTGTTTGCAGTGAGGAAACATCTAAGCTTATGGTGGGAAAGCTTTGGCTCTGGGCTGGGAGACAATAAAAACTACAACCTGCTCAAAGTCCTTATTATGGGACTTTGGCCCATAATAGCTAACATCTGAGAGACAGCCAGGAGTGTCCCTTTGGTATAAGACTAGAGCTGCCATTTCCTTCCTCCTTCCCTCTCCCCACCCCCTCCCCTCCTTCTCCCCATCTCTTCTCCTCCCTCCCCTACCCCTCCCCTCTCTCTCCCTGCTCCTTCCCCTCCTTCTCTCCACCCCTTTCCCTTCCTCCCCTTTCTCTTCCCTTTTCTCTCTCTCTCTTCCATCCCCTCCCCTCTTCTCCCTTTCCTTTCCCTTGTCTTCCTTCCTTTTTTTTTTTTTTTTTTGCTTTTATTATTACCAGTAGAACCTCTGTAAGTTGAATACCCAAGGAACTATAATAAACTGGTCAGCATAAAGAGCTTCCATTGTGTATATATAGTGCACGTCCGGTCTAGGAAAATCAGGTCAACTTAAGGAGGTGGTCAATGTAGAAAGGTGGTCAGCTAAGGAGGTTCTTCTGTATTTTTAATTGGCACATAATAATTGTATATATTTATGGGGCATAGCATGATGTTTTGATGTATGTGCACAGTGTGTACTGATCTTGGGCAATTAATATATCCATTGCCTCAAACATTTATTCCTTCTTTGTGTTGGGAACATTTAAAATCTGCTCTTCTAGCTATTTGAAAATATATGGTAAGTTGTTAATTATAGCCATTCAACAGTGCTATGGAACACTAGAACTTGTTATTCTTGTCGAGCTGTAATTTTGTTATCTGTTAACAGTTACCAATAGTTAGGGACTGACCCCACTGAGATTGTTTTTTGTTTTTTTTTGAGACTCACAATGTCGTCCTTGGTAGAGTGCTATGGCATCACAGCTCACAGCAACCTCAAACTCTTAGGCTTAAGTGATTCTCTTGCCTCAGCCTTCCAAGTATCTGGGACTACAGGGACCCGTCACGACGCCTGGCTATTTTTTTGTTGCAGTCGTCATTGTTGTTTAGCTGGCCCAAGCAGGGTTTGAACCCGTCAGCCTCGTTGCATGTGGCTAGAGCCATAACCACTGTGCTGCAGGCGCTGAGCCAGATTTTTGTATTATATATTTGTTTATGTGGGGAGTGGTGGTTTCACCATTTATGACTTTTATCAGACTCTCACCCACCCATTTATGACAACTTTTGCATGTCAGTACTCTTGGATCAGCAGTTCTTGACATTTAGCAATAGAAATGAGTTCTGGTCCCTTTTCCAGGAAAAGTCAGCACTCTATGATTTTCTAAGTATTTTTCATGGTGAAGTTAGGGAGCAGTGTAGTTATGTTTGGTGAAGATCAAGGTATGTATGACTGACCATACAGAATATCTGATACTTCTGTAAATCCATTCATGGCAAGTGATAACTTTTTCTTACGATATAGACACATGTATGGCAGAGAGGCAACATAATTTGTCGGTAACTGAGATAGATGAACTGATAGTGTCAGATTTTGAAGGAAATGATGAGGACGTTTTTATGAGTTCAGATAATGAGCAAGAAGAATTCATAGAGGTGGAATGTGAAATTATACATTCTGAGGAAGAAAGTGAAGAGGAGGAAGAAGATGATGACGATGGACTAAAACAGTGGTTCTCAACCTTCCTGATGCCGCAACCATTTAATACAGTTCTTGTGGGTTGCAACCCACGAGTTGAGAAACGCTGGACTAGAAAAAATGCCAAATACAGAGCCCTAGAGAAGGACAGAGCCCTAGAGAAGGAGGTCGTGCCCAGTTGTAAGAAAAGAGCAGCCTGTGGCTCAGAGGACAGCACCATGAGGAATGACATGGAACTCACAGCCAATAAGGGTCAGGGAGATGACAGTCGGCTGAAGTGAGGACTCAACCAGGGCTGTAATCAGGGATAGAACCCAAAACTCCACTGAATACTTTCCAGCTGTTTATTGATAATGAAACTATGGATGTAATTATCAAATTTCAAATTGGTGAAAAAGTTATGTAAGGACATATTCATCCAAAATTCTGGTGATTTTGTAAAAGAAGAAATATTAGGACTAATTGGAATTCCTCTAACTTGCAGTGTATACTGACAATAAAGGCAATATCTGAGATCTTTTTCAGTGAGGAGGATTTTCCAGTTTACCATGCTGTTTTCAGAACATAGACTGTGACTCTACTGAAATGTCTACGTTTTGATGATGCTGCGACATGGGAAGCTTGCAGACAGCACGATGAGTTTGCTTCAGTTTGTGAGCTTGGGAATGTGGCTATAAATAAGCTCTCATTTTACTATAATCCTCATGAGTCTGTCACTGTCAGTGAGGAGTTGGTGTCTTTCCATAGGCATTGTCCTTTCAGACTTTACATACCAGCTAAACCTGGAAACTGTGGAGTTGCAGTGAATCTTTTTTGTGATTCTTTCTACAAACTACTATTTTGAGGATGGGGCTATATGCAGGGAAATCAGAGAACCTTCCAAGAAATTTTAATAATGGCTCTGAAATTGTAAAAAGACTGGTTGAGAACTATTATTTGGATATATCTGGAAGAAATATTGTCATGGACATAAAGTTTACCTCCATCATGCTGGCTTTAGACTGGCTACAAAGGAATATGACCACAGTTAGTACTGTTTGCAGTGATGAAAGGGATTTGCTTCTAGAACTCAGGCCAGCATCACTGAAAAACTCTTTATATGATACAGTAAGATTTGCCTTCCCTCCCTATGACGTTAGTAAGTTATATTCCAAAGTCAGGAAAGGTAGTTACAGTACTTTTTGCACACAGCATGAAGATACTGTGATAGACAACAAGCCTGATGTAATCCGCTTTTATGATGCTACTAAAGCAAGTGTGTCAAGTGCGTGGGAATGTACTCCTGTCTCTGAGTAACTCGGGGTTGGCTGTTGGTGCTTTTCTTCAGTGTCATTGACATTGCAGCGTATAATTCACATGTGAAGTTGCCGCTCATTCCAACTTCATTCACAGAAACAGTTGGGAAGAAAATACTTTGAAAGATTTGGCATGACAGCTCTGTGAAGAAAACAGAAGGTACACCCAAAATGCTCATGGTCTCTACAAAAACTATACAGTGGCAATGAGTCTTTGCAAACATGAGTGCAGCCAAGGACAGGGCACAGTCACAAGAGGATGGTTCAGACCAAACTGAAAGGAAGCATTATGAGACAAGCCGCAGACAGCTTACCAAGAAAAGGTCATTGCTACCTTTGTACCTGTGGGAGAGAAATATATGTATGAAGGCATGTGGTAAATGCAGCAAATATAGCTGTTGTAGCCACACATCAAAAGAAGACATTGTAATTAAAAGAACACGCAGAGAAGTAATCAAAGTGCTTTTAGTCCCTTGCACACTGATATGTAAAATCTATAGTTTTTTCTCAAAAATCATGTGGTACTGTTTATTCTGGGGTCAGTGACTGACCCCTGTTGGTGGTCATTGTGTACTGAGCTGACATTGGCATGTGACTGCTGTGCGGCCCGCATCCTCCTCCCGCCTGTCCTTTCCGGACTCTGCAGCCACTATTCTACTCTCTACTTGTACGAGATCAGCTGTTTCAGCTTCATACGTGAGTGAAACATGCCGTATTTATCTTTCTGTGCTTGGCTTACTTCTCTTAGCTTAATGCCCTCCAGGCGTCTCCATTCTGTTGCAAATGACATAATTTCATTCTTTTTATGGCTGAATAGTAGTCTGTAGAGTACATATATGAATCTATATACTACATATTTTTTATCCATTCATTTGTTGATGAACACTTACATGGAGTCCATACCCTGGCTATTGTGAATAGTGCCTACTAAACACGTAAGGGTGGGTATCTGTTCAGTATGCTGATTTCCTTTCCTTTGGATAAATACCCAATAATGGGATTGTGTGTAGTTTTTTTTTAGTTCTTTGAGGAACCTCCATATTATTCTTCATGATGGCTGCTCCCCTTTCTTTACATGCTCTCTAGCATTCGTTATTGCCTATCTCGTTGTAGCTTTGATTTGCATTTTCTTGATGATTAGTGATGCTCAGCATTTTTTCATATACTTGTTGGCCATTTGTATGTCTTTTTTTGAGAGATACTTGTTCAGTTCATTTTCCCATTATCATTATTATTATTATTATTATTTTAAGACAGAGTCTTAAGCTGTCACCCTGGGTAGAGTACCGTGGTGTCACAGCTAACAGCAATCTCAAACTCTTGTGCTTAAGTAATTCTCTTGCCTCAGCCTCCCAAGTAGCTGGGACTACAGGTGCCCGCCACGGCACCTGGCTATTTTGTTGTTGTTGTTGTTGCAGGTGTCATTGTTGTTTTAGCTGGCCGAGGCCGGATTCGAACCTGCCTATGTGGCTGGCGTCCTACCCACTGAGCCACGAGTGCTGCCCCATTTGCCCATTTTAAAATCAGGCTATTTGGCTTTTTGCTGTTGAGTCCCTTGTATATTCTGGACATTAATTCCATGTTGCATGAATAGTTGGCAGATATTTTCTCCCGTTCTGCTACTTGTCTCTTCACTTTGTTGGTTATTTTCTTTGTTGTGTGTTTTGAGGTCTTATCCATAAAACTTTTGTCCAGAACAATTCTTGAAGTGTTTCCCTTATGTTTTCTTCTAATAATTTTTTATTTTCAGGTCTAATATTTAATTCCTTATTATAGTTTAAGTTGATTTTTGTATATGGTGAATGTGGGGAACCAGTTTCATGGTTTTGCTTGTGAATGTCTAGTTTTTTTTTTTTTTTTGAGACAGAGCCTCAAGCTGTCCCCCTGGGCAGAGTGCCGTGGCATTACAGCTCACAGCAACCTCCACTCCTGGGCTCAAGCGAGTCTCCTGCCTCTGCCTCCCAAGTAGCTGGGACCACAGGCACCCGCCACAATGCCCGGCTATTTTTTGGTTGCAGCCGTCATTGTTGTTTAGTGGGTCGGGGCTGGGGATTCGAACCCGCCACCTTAGGTGTACGTGGCTGGCGCCTTAGCCGGTTGAGCTATAGGTGCCGAGCCGAATGTCTAGTTTGTTCACCACCATTGATGAGACTGTTCTTACTCCCATGGATGTTCTTGGCACCTTTGTAAAAAATCAATGGGCTGTAAATATGTGAATTTATTTCCAGGTTGTCTGTTCTGTTCCATTGGTCTTTGTGTCTGTTTTTTTTCCCCCAGTACCCTGCTGTTTCCCTAAAGGAAAGAATAGTTATAAAGCAAAAAGGAGAAGTTGGGAGATAAAATAGGCGATCATTAACTGTGGACGGTTATTGATAAAAGCAAACCCATTGGAAAACCTTAGAAATGAATATGTTGTCAAAGAAATTTTAAAAACTTGTATTAGTGCAATACATGAAGATTGAAAAAAAGACATTAGTGATATGAAGAATTTGTAAGTCAAAGATAATACTGAGGATTACTTTAGAACATAGCTCAGGGAACTGAAGAAATGGAAAATGTGAAAGAGAATTTAAGATTGAGAACTTACAGTGTATGTCTCCTAAGACTTCTGAAATTAAAGAATAAATACCAGGCATGTTGAAAATTTTCCTCACTTTCTGAGTACCTAAGAGCTTCAGAGCAGAAACTGTGGAGGTGAGTAGGATAAATACAAATAGATTCATGCCTGGATACATTCTAGAGAATCTGCATAATGTTCAGGAAAGAAGAAAACATTTATAATTACTGGAAATTAAGCAAAACAAAGACAGGTTAATATCAGGTTTGTTATCAACAGAAGAACAATGGAGCAATATTTTTAAAGTTACTCATCTAGACCCCTTAAGAGAAAGAGAGAGAGAGACAGACAGAGGCTTGCTTGCTTGCTTGTTGGCAGTGATGGCCTACTCTTATGAACCAAAGGTTGGCTATAAAAGATTTATGAAGTTTAGGACTCACTGTTATATTGAAGGCAATGGCTAAAACAAAACAGTGAGGCTATTAGCCTCTATTTCAGATGTTCTCCTCTCTAGGGCTCTTCTGTTAAAAAGAAAAAAAAGAATAATAAGGAAGAAAAAGAAAGAAAGAAACATGGGATTGTTTGTGGCTCTAACTATAGGAGTAGGTTAGTTAGGTTTTTTTTTTTTTTTAGTTGTTAGCAGCCATGTAGAGATAGTAATTCCTTTGTACTTCCAGTGAGAAGCTTCAGGTTTGTACTTTAAATTTAGGTTCTAATAATAGTAATCTGTATGCTCATGTTTTTGGTGGAATGATTCTGTGGTGTATCTCTAAAAATATGGATTATAATAAATCTATGTTTTCAGAGTCTGAGCAGCTGAAGAAAGAATGGGTCATGTAAACAATAAAGTTACTTTATTTGGTGAGTTTCTTCTGACTGTAGCTGGCGTTTGGTTTTGTTTTTTCAGTTTTCTAGTAAATTATTTCCTGTTTTCCTATTAGATTTTAATTTTAGAGGAAAAATAGTTATGATAAAATTAAGTAACTGAGCATAAGTATAGTATATGGCATTTCTAAATGAATATGTGCAAGCAATTAAGCAGTGTCGAAATTGCTGTATATTATTTGAGAATGTATATAAATGTGCCATACATGTGTTCTTATAAATCAGGAATAGCTTTAGTCCTTCTTTTTGCTGATGGTCTATTCACTGTTAAAGTTATCCTAAGTTTTAGTAAGACTTGTCTAAAATAAAAGCTGACTTTATGAATCTACCTCTTGCTCAAGGAGAGAAACTTGTTGTGATGAAGTGTAACATAAGAGAAAAGAATGTTTTAAGTAATGTACTGAAAAATGTACTTTACACAAAAATTTAATCAGTGGAATCCTTTTTTATTTATTTTTCATGTTTCATTTTATTTCACCAGAACACTGCAGACTGCAAAATAACATCATCTACAACTGGAGATAAACACTTTGATAAAAGTCCCACTAAAACAAGGCACCCTCGGAAGATTGACCTAAGAGCTCGATACTGGGCATTTCTTTTTGACAATCTTCGCCGAGCAGTAGATGAAATCTATGTAACTTGTGAATCAGATCAGAGTGTGGTAGAATGTAAGGTAAGATTTGCTTTGAGGCTCTGTAATCCATTTGAAGTCAAATTCTCCAATTTTTGCTACGTTTGATTTGAGTGTTATCTCACTTTGTCTAGTATTAATAGATTCTGTACGCTTTTCATCTATACACTAAAATCAGCATTATGCTTCAGATTTTCTTGATTTTGAAAAACACCTTTTTTTGTATTCCTAATTGTATGTTGTATATTCTTTGAAAGACCTGGTGGAAAGCTGTCTTGATGCATGGTCCTGGGCAAGGAATCAAAGGCTTGACTGCATAGACACGCACATGATTAGTTTTGAAGCCTTGGATTGCATCCTCCACTGGTACTGTAGGTGGCACTAGTGATATTTTCACATTCTTTGGTTTCATGTTTAATGTCTCTAATTGAACGTTGCTCACTTTCTGTTGAGATACTTATCACTCTCCTAATTCACTTTGGTCAGGGAAAAGTGAGATTGATAGCTAACCATAAACAATCCTGGGTGGGATTGGGATGTCATTGTAAGGTGTGTTTTCTAATTTTAGATAACCTTGTGTTTGTAATAGGATATTAAACAGACACAGAGTGTAGGCTGTCTCTAAAAATTCACTGAAAAGCCTGGCCTTTTAGTAAATATAAACTATGTACTATTTACTTTTTATTGAATAAAACTAGTTTGAGAAAAACCAGAGTGATGCATCTTCATAGAAATATTAAAGAGGTAACTTCTGGTTTTTTGGTGAATGTTGTTGAAAACCATGGAATTCACTTTTCAGCCTTGGAAACTTATGAAGGGTCAAAGAAAAGTAACACGTTGAGACAGCAGCTGTGTTTCCTTTTAAACTGAAACAGCCAGAATAGTTTTTAGACTAGCTTAAAAATAAGATTCATCAAAAACAGTTTTCGAAATGAACAGTAGTTGAAACTATTCAAACACGTATGGTTGTTATAATCAATAGTGTTACTGTCAGTATGTAAAATCTTTTAATGTTTTAAGGAATATATTTCTAAGTAAAAATCATTCCTTTGAGTACAAGTCAGCATGTTATGACAGAAAATACTACTAGACTTAGTTTTGGGTTATGTGGCTTCTCCTAGAGATCAGTCACATCAATTCTTTGGTGTCATGATTAAAAATAACAGAAGACTGATTGAAGAAATTGAATTTGTGAAATGTGTGCTTCTTTAGAGGAGTGAGATTGCTCAATTACAGTCACGTCTGTTTGTGCTGAGCAGACACTCTTACCTGTCTCTGATACCACTGTGTTTGAGGAAACTAGAAATGGCCATCAAAAAGTACGGCTTTTATTTCTGGTTCTTGTGAAAACTTGATGGTAGTAGAAATCTGCTTTATGAGTTGTAGATTAAAAGGATGGAGAACATTTTGACAACATGAGAGGAATAGAGATGTGTTCTCCGTTCTTTGAATTGTGCCAAGATGAAGGTTATGCTGAGAAATAAAATGTGGGCGTTCAATAGTTACTTTGGAAATATGTGCAGGGACTGAATGCTTCTAATCCTAGCCCAACAGACTTGTTGAAGTAGCCCATGCCATCTGGGCTTGTAGGGATTTCAGGGTAGTAGGCCTTGGAAAGAGTTCTCAGTGATCAAGTAAAGAGGACCCCAGTAGGTCTCAGGTTTATGTGAGGAAAGGAACACAGACATAAATGAAGACACTGGAGTTTTAGAGGTTTTCTGTGGGGATACTTGGCTAGATGAGTGTCTGCAAAACTTTGATGAAGTTGGGCAGAGGGAGCCAGGGAAAGCCTGTGCTTTGCCCAGAAAACCACACAAGCTACCTGTGCAGAAATCATCATCTATTGCAGAGGTGAGTAAAGACCACTGACCTCAGACTGAATCAGAGAAAGACCAGGGACATACCTCCTCCTGGCAGCACTTCCCTCTGTTGGAGATGGACTAGCTGATGACTGCAGGAGACCTATTACTAATGTTTGGCAAGCTCTTATAAGTAGAGTATTTTTCTGCTCCTATACCTGCCACTTATTGCAGAGGACAAAAGTTTGTGACGGTAGGTGAGGGGGAGGGGAAACTCAGGGGGGAATGGAAGTGAGACCCAGTGAGAATAGCCCTTCCCTACCATAGGCATCTGGTAGAGGCTATTTAATTCTTATTGTGCTAATGAGGCAGGTTATCCATAGATGGGCTTTAAAAGCTATGCTTTGATGATTAAATGTTATGAAAAATTTTGGAATGTCACTGGTCATACTTAGTAGGCTTAGGACTCAGTTGAGTAGTTATGCGGAAAGCATAAAATTAATTTATGTTTATATCTGAATGAGTTGAAACTTCTCAATTGAACATGTCAAGTAAGAATCAAAATGAGACGTGAAGAATTGCATTGAAAAGTATGACGTGCTATAAACAGAGAATACACTTTACAATTGGGAAAAATGAGAATGAGGGTCACAGAGAAAGAGGGATATGGGCCTAGGGACAAAGATGGAATAACAGTAGAGGTAGGATGAGACCAGGAGAATAATAATGTCCCCAAAGCCATGGAAGGGGTAGACGAATTACTGAGTCAAGATTGACTGCATTTGTGGGCGGCACCTGTGGCTCAGTGAGTAGGGTACTGGCCCCATATACTGAGGGTGGCAGGTTCAAACCTGGCCCTGGCCAAACTGCAACAACAAAAAGATAGCCAGGCATTGTGGCCCTGTAGTCCCAGCTTCTCAGGAGGCTGAGGCAAGAGAATTCCCTAAGCCCAAGAGCTGGAGGTTGCTGTGAGCTGTGATGCCACGGCACTCTGCAGAGGGTGACAAAGTGAGACTCTCTCTAAAAAAAAAAAAAGATTGACTGCATTTGAGAAAAAGCCTTTCTATCTGGTATTTAAGAGGAACAGATGGGATCAAAGTGGAAAGTTGTGGGAACAACTTGAAATTCCATCTAACTGTGTTTGCCTTGTTTATTTTTGAAAAGTAGGAGTTAAGTTGGGGATTTGAGGAGAATGAAAAAGATCTAAAATAACTAATAAAGAAGAGAAAGGCTGACTTATAGAAACCATAGCATTGCCTGGCAGCTTTGAAGGTCATAGTTGAGAAATACTTTTCTTTCTTGAGTCTTCAGTTTTTCTTATTAACTTCTTCTTTCATTAGCATTACATTAGTTAATTTTCACATAAATTAACTGTTCACATAAGGCAGCTTTCATTAGCATTACATTAGTTAATTTTATTATTAACTTCTTCTTTCATTAGCATTTAACATGTTTATTTCTCTTTCATCCTGAAAGCAAAACAAAACAAAAAACCCAAATAACCACAAACCCCCAAATCCTTTCTCTGCTTAACCTTTACTCCTCCATCCCCCGAGTTTTCTTCATCCCTTCCTAGCCAGGTTTCTTAGAGGAATTTCTTATACTTGCTGTCTCTACTTTCTTTTCTTCCCTGTACTCATTATTCCTTTCCGCCCTGGTTTATATCCTGGAAGAGCTTCTACTGAACTCTTGGGAAGGGGTCACCTTTGTCTTGTTAAGCCCAGTGGATGTTTTTCAGTCCCTTTGATGACCTCTGAGCAGCATTCCACGCCGTGGACCAGTCTTTCTTACAGCTCGCTCTCCTTTGGTGTTCATGGAATCCCTCTGTTAATTTTTCTCTCCTTTTGTTGGCTGTAACTTCTGCATCCCCTTCATTGACTTTTTCTTCTGCAATGTAGGGCACATTTTAGGCCACCTTCTTTTCTATTTTATACTTTCTGCAGTTTTCTCCACGCGGTGGCTTAATTTACCATCCATTTGCTAATGATTCTTAAATTTATAACTCTAGCCCACACATACACTCTCTTCTGGGTTTCAGACTTGTATGTCTAGTTTGTGTAGTTGACGTCTCCTTGATGGTATCTTGCAACGTTTTAAACTGACATATAAAAAACTAAGTTCGTGATCTCTTTTTCCCACCTCAAACCTGGAAATGTATTTTTCTTCTCTGAATGGCACCCCCATATCCATGCTTGAAACTTGGCTCCTCCTTTCACCTCATGAAGCCATTGTCTAATGAATTAACTCCTTTCAGAACTACTTCCTAAATCTTTCTGGTTCATTTGCTTTTCTCATTCTCCATTGAGTACTAGTCCAAGCTACTATTATAAAATGTTTGGATTAAAACCGAAGGCTTCCAACTAATACAACCTTTTTGGAAAGGAAGTATGGAGAACCGTCAAAGAACTCAAGCTAGACCTCATTTGATCCTACAATCCCATTACTGTGCATCTACCCAGAAAGAAAAAAATCCTTTTATCATAAAGACACTTGCACAAGACTATTTATTGCAGCTCAATTTATAATCGCCAAAATGCGGAAACAGCCTAAATGCCCACCAACCCAGGAATGGATTAATAAGCTGTGGTATATGTATACCATGGAATACTAGTCAGCCATTAAAAAAATGGAGACTTTACAGCCTTTGTATTAACCTGGATGGAAGTGGAACACATTATTCTTAGTAAAGCATCATAAGAATGGAGAAGCATGAATCCTATGTACTCAGTTTTGAAATGAGGACAATTAATGACACAGTGGGGGTAGGGGAAGAGGAGAGCATAGAGAGAAAGAAGGAGGGAGGGGTGGGGAAAGGAAGAGCAGAGAGAGGGAAGGAGGGAGGGGGTGGGGTCTTGGTGTGTGACACAGCTTTTGGGGGCAAGACATGATTGTAAGAGGGACTTTACCTAACAAATGCAATCAGTGTAACCTGGTTTCTTGTGCCCTCAATGAATCCCCCAACAATAAAATATAAAAACAAAAACAAAAAACTGAAGGCTTCCAGTGGGAACCCTGCATCCTTCCAATTCATTCTCTATTCTCTATTCTACAGGCAGAATGACATTTTAAAAATCACTAATCTAACCTTTGTAGCTCTTCAAAACCTTCCCTTTACTCTGAGTATCAAAATTCTGAATATGGCTCTTAGATCTTGAGTGGCTTGACCCATACATAGCTTATTTCAAATTATTTTTCTCTCTTCCCTCACCTCATTTAAATCAACTGTCTCTATTCAAACATACC